CGTAGCACCTACGCCAGTGCTCCCAAAAATCAAGACAGAGAAGAGCCGCTAATAGAGGAGCAGCTCATGGCGGGCGAAGAGCAACCAACCCCAGATCCCACCCCAGAGCAAGTGCTTCAACAACTCCAAGCCCAGTTGCAGAGTACGCAGGAAGAAAGAAATCGATTAGCTGCAACCTTCACCACAAGGCAAAGAATAGTTCAGGCATCACTTCAGGCAGTGGAGATCAAGCAGCAGTTTGCCGTCTTGCAGGCGGAGATTCAAAGCATGCAGCCCAGCCAACCTCTCTCCAATACACCCAACCAGCACCACTCAGCAAATCAAAGCTAACCCAACCCTTTGCCAGAATGACCAAGGCAGTTCTTGGACCACAGCTGTAGAAAAACATCATAGCTTATGTTGATGACATTGTAGTAATGAGCAAGAATGAAGATCATATTGCAGACCTCAAAGAAACCTTCGCAAATCTAAGGGCAGCGGAGCTCAAATTAAACCTAGAAAAGTGTGTCTTCGGCGTCAGCAGAGGAAAAATGCTCGAGTACATCATAGGTCCTGAAGGCATAAGGGCAAACCCAGAAAAGACGAAGGCCATAATCTCATTGGTAGAACCATCAAACAAAAAGGAAATCCAAAAGCTCACCAGAAGGATAGCAGCATTGAATAGGTTCATCTCAAAGTCAGTAGAGCACAGCCTTCTGTTCTTCAAAACTCTGAGAGGTGGAGACAAGGTGGAATCAGGGCCAGAGCAGTCGAAGGCTTTCCAACAACTCAAAAGCTATATGGCCGGCAAACTCTTGGTCACAGTACCAGATCTGGAGGCACCACTACTGTTGTATGTTGTAGCCTCCGACCATGCAGTCAGTGGTGTACTCGTCCAGAAAAACAAGAAGAATCAAAAGTCATTTAGCAGCCTGTCTACTACATCTCAGAAGCATTATCAGGAGCAAAGTTGAACTATATAGAGATCGAAAAGATAGCATATGCTGTTCTGACCGCATCCAGAAAATTGAAACATTACTTCCAAGCGCATGAAATCACAGTGCCATCATCACAGCCGCCCAGAGACATATTTAGTAACAAAGAAGCCTTCGGAAGAATAGGGAAATGGGCAACAGAATCATCCCAGTTTAATCTAAACTATATGTCAAGAACAGTAATAAAATCACAAGCATTAGTAGATTCATGGTAGATTGGACACCTTCGGTGCATAAAAGTACACAGCTTCAAGCTCAGATCTGGACACTCTATACGGATGGGGCTTGGGGACATCTGGGAGCAGGAGCCTCCGCCATTCTGATAGCACCATCAGGCCTCCGCTCGAAGTACATAGCCAGACTAGAGTTCAAAGCAACAAACAACATAGCAGAGTACGAAGGCCTCATAATGGGACTAAATAAGGCGAAGGCACTTGACGCAAAAACAATACTAGCAAAAATAGACTCTCAGGTTGTGGCCAGGCAAGTTGAAAAGGAGTACATGGCACGAGAGCCAGAGATGGTCAAATATTTGGTGACATTAAGGACACTGGAGCGAAGGTTCTAGAGATTCACCCTAAAATGTGTACCAAGAGTAGAAAATACAGAGGCAGACGAGCTGGCAAAGGCAGCAACAAACAATCTGCCCATACCAGAAGGAATATTCTACCATGTACTCAAAGCACCAGCAACGCAAGCAACTGCGAAAGCATTCAAGCAAGTCCTACTCGCAGAGTCCGTAGACTAGAGGCAGTTGTTCATTGATAAGATAAACAATGTGCAACACTCAGAAGATGAGGCAAGCATTGCAAGAATGGCTGCCAGGGCAAGAAGCTATACACTAGTAGATGGAGCCTTGTACAAAAAAGGCGTAGTCCAACCACTACTCAAGTGCATAACCTGGAGCAAAGGCAAGGAACTCCTCCAAGAGATTCATGCCAGAATTTGCGGGTCTCACATAGGTCCAAGGGCATTGTCTGTGAAGGCCATTAGGAAAGGATTCTACTGGCCCACCCACATCAAAGATGCAGAAGAAATTGTCAAGACATGTGAAGCATGCCAGAGCACATCCCCACACCAGTCAAAGCCTTCGGCCGCAGTACAGTTCATTCCACCCACTTGGTCATTACAAAGATGGGGCATGAACCTTGTTGGGCCATTGCCACCATCGCAAGGGGGAATAAATTTGCAATTGTAGCAATTGAGTACTTCACAAGATGGATTGAGGCAAAGCCCTTAGCAACTATCACTTCAGAATCTGTGAAAAAATTCTTCTAGCAAAACATCATGTGCAGATTTGGAGTGCCAAGAACCCTCACGGTGGACAATGGAAAGTAGTTTGACTCAGACAAGTTCAAAGAATTTTGCAAAAATCTGGGAACAACCCTAGCCTTCGCCTCAGTCTACCACCCTGAGTCAAACGGAGCAGTAGAGAGACCTAACAGAATAGTATTCTCAGCAGTATCAAAAACATAGTTCAACCTCCGCAAGGGAAAATGGGTCAAAGAGTCGCCGAAGGTGGTGTGGTCTCACAACACCACCTCATCTAAGGCAATAGGCTTTACACCATTCAAGCTCCTATACGGAGAGGAAGCAATGCTACCCGAAGAAGCCAAGCATCAGAGCCTTCGGGTCATGAAGCATGCTTTAGCAACAGATGAAGAATATTCTAAGGAAACAATCGAAGGCACAAGATTGGAAGCAGTAGAAAACATTAGTAAGTATCAAGAACAAACCAGGAAGTGGAGAGATAGCAAAGTAGTCAGAAAGCACATACAGGACGGAGACCTAGTCCTAAGAAGGAAGCCAAATGCAGCTACCGTGGGAAAGCTCCAAACAAAGTGGGAAGGTCCCTACATGGTGAAGGCCGCAGGAAGACTAGGGTCATTCTACCTGACAGATGTCGAAGGAAGGACAACTACTCATACCTAGAACATTGATAATTTACGTAGATTTTACATTTGATTGTAAGAGGATGACCTCCGTGGAAGTATAAGCGAAGGTGACCTCAATATTTTCCCTGCTTTGTTCTTTGTTGTTTTACATTCCACGAAAAAGGGTATGTACTCTTTTCTTCACAAAGGGGAAATCCTAGCGGAGGTGAGGTTTTTAACGAAGCAGGACCCATGTAAAACCTCTAAAATATAAAGGGGAATTCCCCCATGAGAACTATGAAAAGCGAAGGTCAAAAGTGGCTAGCAACGGAGCCACAACATTCGACAACCAAATCACGACAAAGAGGACCCTCCATTGCCTATAGCCAAAGGCTACCAAGCATGGAACGATCTCCGTGGCTAAACTAGCCTGCAACCTTGACAAAGTCCTGTCCACCATCAGGCATCAAGGAATTATTAAAATCGGCCAAAAGGCCACAAACCCGACAAAGACTTGCCTTCGCCGCAGGCATCGGGGGGAAAAGAAGACCTGACAAAGACCTATCCTTATCAAGCATCAGGCGCAAATTAGTAAGAAAGAATGAAGGTACAACAGAGTTAAAATAGCAAAGATACGTCAAGTACACGCAAATCTATGATCATTAATACCAAACCATAACATATCCTGGCATTAAACCTTGGCAACAACTGGAATTTATGAAACATACAAGCCTAGGACTATAAAATGGGGTGTCCCCCCCACCCCATTCCCAATCATTATGTCATAATACTACTAGCTCAGGAGAGAGCAAGGGGGAAATCTAAGCAGAAAAACACTATCACACTATAGAGAAAAGCAAGAAAGACATGGAAGCGGGAGTTTCCTTAAAAATATGAGAGCCACAAGATACCGTACGAAGACTCGTAACTATAGCAGCCCGCGTAGCCCGACGAAGGATACGGACAGATTGTATGCATCCACCACAAAGTGTTGTACAGCTCCTAATGGCTGTTGTGCAGCTAAAACCCGCCAGGAACCAGTTAGCCTTAGAGGTTGCGGGAGCGTATCGCACGAGGACTCGTAACATCCCCCCCCCCCCACAACCAAAGACACCAACTGGTAGTGCGAAGCATCAACCATGTTCGACGGGAGCGCAGCTGATTCAGGAAGGCCGAAGGCGAAACCACACTCTTCCAGGCGCAGGCAAAGGCAAAGTTTGAGCATAAGTTCAATGTCTTCTGACGAAGGCTCAAATTGGGTCTAAGCCTTCGCGAGGGCCGTAAGATCAAACATGAGCACCTCAGGTTTTCCACGCCGACGTGCTAGAACCTCCCTGGCGATAGCCAGACAACAAAGAAGCGGAGGCCACAGGAAGAAAGTAAGCGCCGGAGCCTCCGCAAGGGACACAAGGTCGAAGACTAGCACCTAAGCTCTTTCGCGCGGATGTGCAAGCTCGTCCCCAACGGCAACCAGAGAAGAGAGAAGCGGAGGCAAGAGCAAGAAAATAAGAGCAATCAGCTAGAACTCTTCGGTCTAAACAATAAATGTAACCAGATTCTACAATCAAACAAGTGTCCAAGCTAGACTTTGAATCACAACTTTATTCATAAAACTCATACAGCCTGCAACAAGCGCCTTCACGGCACAACTATAAAAAATGACAAAACTCAAAACCATACAGAAGCCCAAAGGCAGCAAAGCGCAAAACGCAAAAGGCGTAAGCTCTGAATAAAACACACAAAGCACATTACAAAGGCACAAAGGGCCCTCAGAAAACATAAAACAAAATCATATCCTAAACCGGTGAACGTGGCCCTCGCCACACGAGGGATCTAACGAATTTGGCGCGTTCGTCATCAATATCATCCATAACGAAGGCCCACATTTTGACAACAGAAGTCCGAGGAAAGGAATCACACCAATAATCCCACAATTCACCGCTAACGTAAACTCCATCTTGCATAAAAGTCAAAGGAGTCACGTCCTACACAGCCCCCAGGAGGCAACCTGTGCAGGACAATATTTACAGTAAGTCCTAAAAGATGAAGGCACCAACTAAAAACACAAAAGCCTACTGCATATATAGGGAGAATACAGTCTAGTGGCCATTGCCTCCGGCTATCCCAAAAATAATAAAAACTAAAACCTAAATTAGACCTCCGGAGTCTTCTCAACACCGGCAGCAGGAGTAGCTTCCTGGTTGGGCACCCTCTGAGATTGTGAAATTTGCGCCTCCACAGCAACACGGCGGGCCTGCGCCTTCTTCAAGTCCTATACAACAAACAAGGAAAGCATAAGTATAAAAAAAAAGAGAAGAAGAAGAAGAAAGCAAAAGAGCAAATATCCAAACTAGCAGTCAGAACTCAACAAACCGCAGCATGACGTGCCTCCGCCAAGGAGCGAGCATTGGCACAGCCAAACCTAAGCCAGAAGGACTTCATGAAGCTCCTCATCGCCTTGGTCAGATTTCCAGATGTCTCCCCAAGATCTGCCGGGCTCTCGAAATCCTTCCTGTCCTTCAAAGCCTCCACATGACCGTAGCCAGACTTAATTAAGGTCTTTGACAGGTTGGTAGCTGAGGAGAGCGTACCAAAATCAATGGCACCCCCAACAAAAGTCAGGAGCTTGGCAAAGTTAGACTTCATCTAGGCAAATATGCCATACGCCGAAGGCTCGGCAGGCAGAGAAGACGCAACTCTACCAAACTCGCCAAGGGCGTTCACATACAGCTCAGCAGCCGAGAGACCAATCACGATCGCCTCCTCCAAACGCTTCGTCAGCAACTCCACCTGAGCGCCCAAAGCATGGCTAGATTCTCTCTCCGCATCAACCTCCTTGCGAAGGCTGGCAGCGGCATCATTGGCCTTTTGCCCACAATCCAGGGCTAACTGTTCTGCAGCCTTCGACCCATCAAGCGCCTTGCTTAGAGACTCTATTTTTCCCTTCAGTTCATCAAGATCTTTCTGACCCGAGCGAAGGCCAACAACCTCCTCAGCAAGCTGTTTCTTCTCAGCTTCAACCTTCTCAGACTTGGCCTGGAGAGCCTCGAGGGCCACATTGCTATTCACAACTTCTTGTGTAGCCTATTCCTCAAGAGCCTCCGCCATATAATGACTCTGCAAAGACAAAAATTTACCAACAGAAAAGATAGCAAAAACGAAAAGGCAATACAAAAGCCACCAAAAATTACCAAGCATTGCTGCTCCAAGTTGTACCGCAGCAACTGATAGAAGTTCACCTTCTTCAAATGGTGACACGCTCGGCCTAACAAAAAAAAGGAAACATAAGCAATGTAAGAAAGAAGTTACAAAACAGTGAGAAAGACGCAAATAACCTCCTATCTCCTTATAAAGAGCACTTAGACACTCCGCCCACCCACTTAGTGTGTCAGCAGAATTCCCTGCAGGACACACAGGACAAATACATGTTAGCACCTCAAACAGATAGAAAAAACAAACATAAACAGACCAAACAGACCTTCGGCACCAACACCGCTATCCCCAGAAGGGCTGGCGGCCCCCGGAAGCAACGATGCCTTTAGGGGAGCTCCCAAGCCAACACGGGCAAGATCCACGCCAGGGGGAACAGAAATCTCCCCGTCCAAAGAGACCCCCATGGACTTCGTCAGGTCACCTACAAAAGCAAAGGTAAGGAGATCTCGTAAAACAACCAACAAAGCAACAACATAAAGAAAAAGTAAAAAGACTAGCAAACACTTACTCAAAAACAAAATACCTTGAGCGGCATCCATCTCGATGTCCTCCTCACGGCGAGAGCCAACTGGAGGAGCAGGATCCTGAGGCTATGCCAGTGGTGGACCATCTTCAGATTCATCTTCAGACTCCTCCACAAGAGGAGCCTTCATAGGCCGACTACGGCCCTCGGATGCAACTCGGTCTCCAACAAGATCACCACCGCCATCGTAGCCAGATGACTCATCGCCCAATACATTAGGCATGAGTTCAACATCAGGGGAGTCAGTGGTGGCGGGACCACCCAGCCCTTGCAGAGCAGCATCAACAAATCCCCCCTTCATGAGCGGCGGAGGTAGCCGAATGCTCGGCCTCCGTGCTTGTCGCCGCCGTAGTAGAGCAGTCATGTACACCCTCCGCCACTTCATCACTAGAGCCAACGGAGGCAGCATCGATGGATACGGCACCGGTGGAGGCGCCAACCTTGCGCCTCTTGCTAATAGTCTTTGTACGGCCAGATCCCTTCCTCTTTTCCGCTTCAGCCGTCGCAGTAGCGTTCTTCGCATCAGCCTTCTTCGCCTTATCCTCAAGCGACTTTAGCACCTTTGTAGGAACTTTATGTTCCTTATGATGCATCCCAAGCTCTTCAAAGACACGATTGAGGCGGGGCGTCATGCCCCCGATGGCCCTCCATGCCAAATACACATTGTCTGACATCTCACCAAGGATATCACGTGCACCCTCCTCGACAGCCATGACATATTCATCAGCAGTCATATCCTCCGCCCGCGTTGTGTCAACGCGAGGGAAGGGAACACCAATACCTTCGCCAAAAACAGGAAGGTTGACCATCTCGATCCTCATTGCCGGTCTGTTTCGACCAAGTGGCCAGCACTTAGACGCTACCATCTCCTCAACTATATCACAGCCTCCGGAGTAACGATAGGCCAAAGCAAAGGCCCTGTCGCAAGCCTCATGCCCTTCGGCGGCATCCGGTCTAGGAGTCCCTTGAGTCGAAGGCTTCATTGGGATCATCACAGAAGCCAAGGGATACCGTGTGTGCTTTTTCCCCTCATCATCCACCGAAGTCATACCACTTGTCCTAACATAGAACCAATATTGCATCCAGTCCTTATTCCACTTATTCTTCTGAGCAAAAGAAATCTCAAGTCTCTCAGTTTTCTGCTGCCTTTTAGGCATGAAAGCGCAACTACCATACTGAGTCAACAACTGATCTTCGCCAACTTTCTTAGGCTGCCGTTGGAGCTTGTAATACTCACAGAAAGTACCAATGTTTGGCTCTGCACCATAGGACAGACAGGCCCAACAGGATTTACTCAAAGTAAGGATCCCATTTGGAGTGAGATGGTGCAGCTGTACCTCAAAAGCCTCCAAGACGTGGCAAAGAAACCACATAGTAGGGAAGCGAAGACCGCAGGCAAAGAAGTCACGAAACACAACAGCGTCAGCAGCCTGTGGCCTAGGCACCGTCTCACCCTGCGGAGGCTTCGCCTTCCGCTCACCAAAACAGCCCTCCTGTTCCAAAACCTTGATCATATCCTTCGTCATGAGCGAAGGCCCAAAGTCCCATGTCCTGCCCGTGCCAGCCATATCCTCTGCTTCCTCGGCAGTGATCAGATCAGCAATGGAGGCCTCGATGCAAGCAAGGTCCTCCAATTCAATAGCCTCCACGCTGGCCCGCATACACTCCTCAAAGCGCTGGGACCTACCACTAGCCCTAACGCCAAGCAGGCGAGAATAAGGGCCGAATATGGAAGCCTAGTGGGGGTGGGAGCTAGAAGAAGAAGCCACCTCTAAGCACTAAAGAAAGCTCCAAGAAGCGAAGGCAGTGCGAACCAAAGCGAAGGCTAAAATTAAAGGCGAAAGAAAGCTTAGAAAGCACTAGCAGGTGAAAACGGTCGAACGGGGTGAGGGAGGCTTCACCTACCGCGCCCTTATATAGTGCCTTTTAGGCATGAAAGCGCAACTACCATACTGAGTCAACAACTGATCTTCGCCAACTTTCTTAGGCTGCCGTTGGAGCTTGTAATACTCACAGAAAGTACCAATATTTGGCTCCGCACCATAGGACAGACAGGCACAACAGGATTTACTCAAAGTAAGGATCCCATTTGGAGTGAGATGGTGCAGCTGTACCTCAAAAGCCTCCAAGACGTGGCAAAGAAACCACGTAGTAGGGAAGCGAAGACCGCAGGCAAAGAAGTCATGAAACACAACATCGTCAGCAGCCTGCGGCCTAGGCACCTTCTCACCCTGCGGAGGCTTCGCATTCCGCTCAGCAAAACAGCCCTCCTGTTCCAAAACCTTGATCATATCCTTCGTCATGAGCGAAGGCCCAAAGCCCCATGTCCTGCCCGTGCCAGCCATATCCTCTGCTTCCTCGGTAGTGATCAGATCAGCAATGGAGGCCTCGATGCTAGCAAGGTCCTCCAATTCAATAGCCTCCGCGCTGGCCCGCATACACTCCTCAAAGCGCTGGGACCTACCACTAGCCCTAACGCCAAGCAGGCGAGAATAAGGGCCGAATATGGAAGCCTAGTGGGGGTGGGAGCTAGAAGAAGAAGCCACCTCTAAGCACTAAAGAAAGCTCCAAGAAGCGAAGGCAGTGCGAACCAAGGCGAAGGCTAAAATTAAAGGCGAAAGAAAGCTTAGAAAGCACTAGCAGGTGAAAACGGTCGAACGGGGTGAGGGAGGCTTCACCTACCGCGCCCTTATATAGTGCCTTTTAGGCATGAAAGCGCAACTACCATACTGAGTCAACAACTGATCTTCGCCAACTTTCTTAGGCTGCCGTTGGAGCTTGTAATACTCACAGAAAGTACCAATATTTGGCTCCGCACCATAGGACAGACAGGCACAACAGGATTTACTCAAAGTAAGGATCCCATTTGGAGTGAGATGGTGCAGCTGTACCTCAAAAGCCTCCAAGACGTGGCAAAGAAACCACGTAGTAGGGAAGCGAAGACCGCAGGCAAAGAAGTCATGAAACACAACATCGTCAGCAGCCTGCGGCCTAGGCACCTTCTCACCCTGCGGAGGCTTCGCATTCCGCTCAGCAAAACAGCCCTCCTGTTCCAAAACCTTGATCATATCCTTCGTCATGAGCGAAGGCCCAAAGCCCCATGTCCTGCCCGTGCCAGCCATATCCTCTGCTTCCTCGGTAGTGATCAGATCAGCAATGGAGGCCTCGATGCTAGCAAGGTCCTCCAATTCAATAGCCTCCGCGCTGGCCCGCATACACTCCTCAAAGCGCTGGGACCAACCACTAGCCCTAACGCCAAGCAGGCGAGAATAAGGGCCGAATATGGAAGCCCAATGGGGGTGGGAGCTAGAAGAAGAAGCCACCTCTAAGCACTAAAGAAAGCTCCAAGAAGCGAAGGTAGTGCGAACCAAGGCGAAGGCTAAAATTAAAGGCGAAAGAAAGCTTAGAAAGCACTAGCAGGTGAAAACGGTCGAACGGGGTGAGGGAGGCTTCACCTACCGCGCCCTTATATAGTGCCTTTTAGGCATGAAAGCGCAACTACCATACTGAGTCAACAACTGATCTTCGCCAACTTTCTTAGGCTGCCGTTGGAGCTTGTAATACTCACAGAAAGTACCAATGTTTGGCTCTGCACCATAGGACAGACAGGCACAACAGGATTTACTCAAAGTAAGGATCCCATTTGGAGTGAGATGGTGCAGCTGTACCTCAAAAGCCTCCAAGACGTGGCAAAGAAACCACGTAGTAGGGAAGCGAAGACCGCAGGCAAAGAAGTCATGAAACACAACATCGTCAGCAGCCTGCGGCCTAGGCACCTTCTCACCCTGCGGAGGCTTCGCATTCCGCTCAGCAAAACAGCCCTCCTGTTCCAAAACCTTGATCATATCCTTCGTCATGAGCGAAGGCCCAAAGCCCCATGTCCTGCCCGTGCCAGCCATATCCTCTGCTTCCTCGGTAGTGATCAGATCAGCAATGGAGGCCTCGATGCTAGCAAGGTCCTCCAATTCAATAGCCTCCGCGCTGGCCCGCATACACTCCTCAAAGCGCTGGGACCAACCACTAGCCCTAACGCCAAGCAGGCGAGAATAAGGGCCGAATATGGAAGCCCAATGGGGGTGGGAGCTAGAAGAAGAAGCCACCTCTAAGCACTAAAGAAAGCTCCAAGAAGCGAAGGTAGTGCGAACCAAGGCGAAGGCTAAAATTAAAGGCGAAAGAAAGCTTAGAAAGCACTAGCAGGTGAAAACGGTCGAACGGGGTGAGGGAGCCTTCACCTACCGCGCCCTTATATAGCCCTCGGACGGACGCTTCAACTTTCGTACCCAACAGTCACGTCCGCTCAGGAACGCATTGGTTCCAAAGCCACCGCATCAAATCAAAAAATGACACGTCACACCAAGGAGGGTCTGACACAGCACGTCCCATGGGGGAAGGGGGGAAGCCTCCGCGGGAGCCTCCGTGGCTCAAGCTCCGTGAAGAAGTTGAGGCTCACGGTCTGCCTGCATTAGACCAAACCCTCAAGGGGGGAACTATTGGGACACAGACATCTAAGCTGTGGAGGTAGGCCTGCTATCTAGCCAAAGGTACTAACCAAGCTATGATTGATATGATCTATAGGTATCACGAGAAAGAGCCTTCGCCTACATCCTCTGGTCTAGCAAAGGTACGAGAGTTAAGGCGAAGGCCCTTGGGAGCAATGGACCGCGGCCGAGAGTAGTGCGAAGGCTGGGCGTCAAGAACGAAGGTCCGGGCTACCCGTGTGGCCAGCAAGGCGGAGGCGAATGCGTTCAAGGCGGAGGCTTTGACGGGTTTGGTGAGGCCTCCGCGCAATCAAGGAAGGAACCCTTATGGCTCAAATGGGCTGCCGGCGGGCCTACGACTAAGGCCCATGAAGCAAAGGCGGTTGAGACAGAGAAAGCCGGAGATGCCCCTGGTAGTTTATGCTTGTATAGGAATATTCGTGAGGATATGCCTTAGCTGTCAAGGGGCAGAGATGTAAAGTAGCAACTCAATGAATAGTTCCCTATAAAAGGGGGAGCCAGACCCATGTAAAGGAGGTTGGTGAATACATTGATGAAACCCTAACTGTGTTTGGGCCCACCGTCTCTGTTACCTTCGCCCGGAGCCTCCACCCAGGCGAAGGCCCCTGTCACTGTACCTTGTTGGGAACCGATTTCCCAACATTTGGTATAACTAGAGGGATGTGCAATTAAATTAGCTCAATGATAGCGAGATTTTGGTGGAATAATCAAGGAGAATAACATGCATTGGATACGATGGGAAACGTTGGTCAGTCCAAAATCCGAAGGGGGCCTGGGGTTCAGAGACATACACTGTTTCAACATGGCGATGCTAGACTCGGAGTCCTTGTGTGCAAGAAATTTAAAGGCCAAATACTATCCCTCTACTAGTCTTTTGGAGGTGCATCTTGCAAGGGGTTCAGACTTTGAA